AAACACCCTCTAAGATCTAAGCCTTAGTAACTTGCTGAAGACTGTGTGGGAACCTTGTAGGAAGGTAGGGACCCAAACAGGTCTCCTGAAGTCCTGTGCAGTGCCTTAACTGCTCCACTGGAGAAAGTTGATCCAGGCTCTGATTTTGCTCTGAGAAATGTACAGCTCTGGGGTTCTGGCTGGGAATTTACTCAAAAAAAAAAAAAAAAAAAAAACCCAAAAAAACCCAAACCCAAAAAAACCAAACCAAAACAAAAAAAAACAAAACCAAAAAGCCACACAAAAAAAAGTGGGCTGTGAATTCATGAAAGTGACCTTGGGTTGGAATATGTAGGAGCTAACAAATGGTTAAGAAAAAGGCTTTTGAAAGTTCTTAACTCATTTCAGGTTGGAAATTGAAAATAATAAGAGGTTTGAATGTGATGGTCACACAGCACTAGTGACTTTACAATGTGTTGACTATTTACTAATAAACAGAGGTATCTCTTTTAAAAAATAATAGAATGATAGTTATTATGAGCTTTTGTAGTTAAGTCATTGCTAGCTTTTTCAATAGAATTAGAACATAGTCTGCTGTACCTCTATGAAAGAACTGGATTATCTAGATGACAGTGCATTTGATCTTACTGTGGCATCCAGTAGACTGGGACTTTAAAGAATTAACTTTGTAGGTCAATCTTTGCTAAGCTAATAAATCAGTTAAGTAATAAGGGAACTATTTATTTTTCACTTTACCATGAGATGATCAATTCTGAAAAATGACTGCTGCCTTTAACAATCGAAAGAGCTGGAAATTTTCTGAGCCTCCTGACAGGTGATGTTAGATAAATTGACATTAAAAATTAGACTAGACGATACTTTTAATTTCATGATAGACACATAATGTACAGCGGTGCAGTGTCTCCTGGCAAAGAACAAAGCTCAAGCCATTTAAAAATCCTGACAGAAGCAGTACAGACTGTCCTCACTTGCTGCAAGCTTAGATCAAAAGAATTCTGAATTTTCCCAGAAGCAAAAAATAATCTGTGCTATGTCCACTAGCATGGTGTGAGAATAAGCGTTTTACTAAATTCATTATGTTTAACAGACAGGCACTGGGGGTTTCACCCATGACAAACTCATGTTTACTGCTGAATATGGTGCGACCTGGTTAGTAAGTTGAAAGACTTCTTGGAGTGGCCAGTGTAAAATGTTGCTGCAAAACCACATGCAGTCTCTCTGGGGTTTGAGGAATGTTGGTTTCCTGGAGTACTGTCATAGTATGGACTGTCTTTATGTTTGGAGTATAAACTTACAAACCTCAGACTCCAAACTATCTCAGCTTTAGTTGGTGTGTATAAAAGTTAGGATAAAGGGCCTACATCCATCAGAGTCCAAGTTCTGAACTCTCCCCCATTTTAACTACAGCATCCTTCTTTATAACTGAAATATAAAACCATTTTTGTCTCGATTCCTGAGGAAGTGGGGTTTATGTGATCAGTCTCCCAGTCTGTCTTTTAATTCCACATGACTTTGTTGCACAGGTCAGGTGCAGCCCAGCTTGAAAGAAGTGTCCATTACCAGTTGACAGTTTGAATGTGGCCCTTTCTTTTTAAGGGATAAGAGATTTTCACTGTATGGAAGCAAGCTGTACTGTGCTAGTTGGCCTCAGAGCCTGAGGGTGGTGTCTTAACTTTTTTAATTCATGAGTATAAAAATAATCTCTGTGTCCTAAGACAGGGCAGGCAGTGTGGCTAAGACTTGTGAACAAGAATAGTTGCAAAATGCTGTGTTTAGGAGAGCTGCTGGTGTAACTTAAGAGGATGTGTGAGTCCTCATATTTGGATTGTTTGCCCAAAACTCTCCCAAACAGCGGGCTGTGTGTACTGTCCCAGCAACTTCTTCCCCACCAAGGAAGTCGTGGCTGTTTCGCACCTATAAATTTTGTTGCTTCAGCAGACCGAGCATTAACTGGGGTGAACTACACCATGTATTTTTGAGTGCAGTTGTAGCCATCTTTACATTTAAACTTAGTTCAATGAGAAATGTGCTTCTTGTTGTGCTTTAGGTTAGAAAAATCCCTAGTAAAAACTGAAGTATTTTTCCAAAGCAAAGGGTTAATTTTGAAAGTTTGCTTACGTTTGTCTCCTTGGAGGCTCACTTCTGAACTTAGGTCTGTGCCTGTGTGGTGCCAGCTTCTTAAAAAGTTCAGATGATGGCCACCAACATAATTAGGAGTCTAAGAGCATATGACTTTAAGAGAGAGGCTGGAAGAGCTAGTTTTGTTCAGTCTTCAGGGTATTCAGTTTCCTGTTTGAGGGTATAGAGGAAACAGAGCTGGAATCTTAGAGATGCATAGCAATAGAACAAGACGCAACGGGCAGAAGTTGCAACAAGGGAAATTCAGGTTAGATCTTGGGAAGAAAATTTTCCCTGTGAGGACAGGCAAACATAGGAACAGGAGTGCAGGGAGGCTGAGGCATCTCCATCCTCAGAGACTCTGAGAACTCAACAGGACCAAGGTCATAGAGAACCTGGTCCAAGCTGGCTCTCCTTTTGGCAGACTTTTGTACCAGGTGACTTCTAGAGGTCTGTTCCAAACTCTTGTTCTGTGACACGGCATAGGGTGTGGCATGAGTTTCAAGTGCAGTGCCCTACGAAACAGCTTACCACTCGATTTGCATTCAGGAAGGCATGTTTCTAATGTGTTAACAGGAGCCCGGAAGTGCTGATACAGGTTGAATGCTAGAGAACTTAATATATTTGCTCTTTCTGCCACCAAGTTTTCATGTGTTGATTTTTCACTAGGTGGTACTTTCTAGATGCCCGAATTGAGGGCTGTGCAAAAGTACTTCTCCAAATAGTATTTAGGGGTTGTTCTTTCATTAGTTAACACCTTGTATACTAAATACTTCCAAAAAAAAGTCTGTTTGGTTTCTAAAGTTAGTGCCTAGTTTTAGTCTTAAATCTTTTTATGGTTATCTTCATTTAGCCCGTATCCAGGGCTAAACTATAACAGTTGCTCTATCACCTGACAAAGCCTCACCGGCCAGGAAAGGGAATCAGGAAAAGGAGAGGAGACCTATGGGTTGAAGTGAAAACAGATTTAATGAAACACCACCAATACCAACAAAGGTAGACAAAGCTGTACTCAGCCAAATGAATATGCGGCCATCACAGTCAACAAGAGAGCAGTCCTCAGGAGCAGGGAGAAGCCAAAGGAGGAACAGGAAGAACCCCACAGGAACTCCCCTTCCTCAGCAATCCTTCCCCCCTTTATAATGACCATGACATTATGGTGTGGGCTACACCTGTAGCTCACTCAGGTCAGCTGCCCTGGCTGACCCGAGACTGCTAATAGCCTGCCTGACATGGTTGGCCTATGATTCTATCCCAGCCAAACCAAGACAGTGATTCAGCTCCCCAGTTGTTAGAGGAGGAGACCATCATCACTTTTCAGGGGCAATGTAGTGATGACTATCACAAAGCCCAAAAGAACTCAAATAATTCTTCCTTCAGAGCATGGTTTGTGTCCTAATACCCATGTATTGCAATAGAAACAGACAAGAAAGCAAAGTTTCAGTCCATCCTATGTGGCAGGAGTTTTAGGGGGAAAAACCCACAGGTAACCATAAATTAATTAGAACAGCTATGCTGCTGAAGAGACCAGCCTTAATTATAGCAATTCCTAACTTTCAGATTTTTTACTGTAATGCTTTCACTGTATTCTTTTAACAAGTTTTTGCTCCTAAGTATAAATCACAGTTTAAAAATTGGACCTATTTTTTTGTCGTTTCACACTTAGATCTTTTTGTTGTTTATGAAGGAATACAGCTGAAAGAGAGTTTGCTCTAGCAGATGATGCTGGTTAACACATGCTGCCCAGCTCTGTGCAGTGACACTCTCTCAGACTCGGAGCTTAGTTCTGTTCTCATCACCATCAATGAGAGTTTTAACATTGCCTACCCTACAAGTGTCTCTCTTGTTGATGTCCAGGTGATGTAGTACAGCCTGGCAAAGAACTTGTATGTGAGGCATATGCTTTATACTGAGTGCCCAATCAGTATCTTAGAATCTGCAAGAGGTGTTGGAAAAATAATGACAACAGTAGACATTGTAAGTCCTTAAAATCTGTACTGTTCAGGAAGGTATCTGCTTAAATTCACTAGATTTTGGGAGCCCTTAAAAGAGTTTTTGAACTTTTAAGTATGTCTAAGTATGCATGCTGTCCCATCTAGGATCATAAATGGGATGTGCATTAACAGAGTAGAAGCAGGAAACTAAATTCTAAGTACTAAATAAATCCAGAGCAGGGGAAATAAAGCTAATCACTTCAACCATCAACACATGCCTTATTTTTAATAAACCTGCTGATACTAAAAGGCTGTTTTAAAACAAGAACAGTGAAGTTGCATTAGGAAGCACTCTAAAGTTCAGACGCTCTGGATTGAAGGTTGCTTGTCAAACCTTAATGCGTATCTATTGTGTATATGGATTATAATAATCTTTTTAATGGGAAAAATCCCTGTAAAGTGGAAAAATAGTCTTTGACTTCGGTGTAGTGGAAAATTAGATCTGCTTAAAACCATTCACTTGCCCTGCCTTTAAAAGCCTGTAGAAATACATGAGAAAGGTATATTTGATGTCGAGGGCATAATAAATGCTAGGAGGAGATGTTATTTTGGAAGTAATGCTTTTCTCTTCAGAGATAATTTGAGCCATTTATGAGCTGCAGAGTCTAAGAGTCTGATGGTGGTTTTGAATGCAACTGATTTTATGAACTTCTGAAAGTTGTTACAATTCTCTGACTTAAAAGGTCTCTTTTGCTTTTGTCTCTTAATAGGCCTGTACAAATGTGTCAGCTGTAAAAAAAAAAATCAGGTGGGAAATACTGATTCTATGTGAAGTTGTTAATTTGTGAAACAGGAGTGTGCCCCACTGCTGGAATCTGTCTCTTAAATGTCTCTAAAGCAGGGATCAAAGTCTTATGTGTTCTATCTTTTGCCTTTCAGGTCCAAACCATGAATTACGTTGGACAGTTAGCAGGGCAAGTGTTTGTAACTGTAAAGGAACTCTATAAGGGACTAAACCCAGCCACATTGTCAGGATGTATCGATATAATTGTTGTACGTCAGCCAGATGGAAATCTTCAGTGTTCCCCATTCCATGTGCGCTTTGGGAAATTGGGAGTTCTACGCTCTAGGGAGAAAGTGGTAAGAAAATTGACAGTTTTGACATGTCCTGTCTGTGCATTAACTAATGGCATGAAAGTTACTGAATGTTCTTCAGTTTTGACATGTCCTGTCTGTGCATTAACTCTAATGGCATGAAAGTTACTGAATGTTCTGCAGTATGCTAGTAAAGGTTTTCTTCAGACCTTCTTTTATAAAGAGCCAAAAGTGATGCAAGGTTCAATTACAACAGTTGTTACTGATTCTTGCATTTCAAAGCATAATTTGTAAGACAGTAACGATAAAAAAACCAAAAAAAGCCATGGTATTTGTAATATTTATTTTCAATAAAGCAAAATTTTGAATGTGCTAATTTGGGCCTATACTCGGTTTCACTAGTGACTGTGTATTAAGACGCCTTTTTTTAACTTGTTCAATGATACTTACAAAAAGGAAGGTAATAATGAAGTGATATTTTCAGATAGCAGAATGTCGAGGTTAATTGAAGCTGGAAAAAGCAGTGAGGACCTTGAGATAAATGTAACTAGGCTGAATGACCTGGCAATATGATATCAGATGCCAAGTTTTCAGTGGGTAATGCACAACAGATTATTTTAGGAAATAATTCGTAACTACATACAGTCTAGCTTCTAATGCAGCTGTAATTGTTCAGCAGAAGAATTTTAATGTCGTCATGGACATTGTTCAATTCTTACATAAATCAGAAAGGAATTCCAATATTTAGGATGGGTAAAAGTTGAAAATGTTACCATGCCAATAGTATACTGTATCCTGAAATATAACATAAATGTAGACTTGTCAAAGTCTCAAAAAAAAAAAAAATACAGTGAAAATGGAGTCAGTGGCAAGAGTGGTTACAGACAGTGAGAGATCTTCCTGAGAAGAAATTGGGCTGTAGAGCAGTGAGAGAAATGTGCAGAAGAAATAGACGCATGAATTGTGTCGAGAATGTAAAACACTTTTTCTTATTTGTGCTTCTCATAGCGTAAAGAGAAGTGTTTGATGAATTGGAAAGACAGCATATTAAGAATTTGCATGTGGAAGTACTTCTTGCACAATGCAAAATTAGGCTATGAATTAAAAGCAAAACGATTTGTGTGGCGATTGAAGCATTCAGAATTACGTTTAAAAAGATTTAGGACTTCATATAATGACTGTAAACCTTCCTGAGTAGAGAAGCAAGACAGCAATGAGCTGAATGAGTTAGAGAAACATTCTGACAATTGATGGCCTTTTTAGGGGTGAGGACAGAAACAGAGTTTGCTATGTTTATTATAAGGTTTCCCTTGCTTGACTGAGAAGCATTTGCCCAGTGACAGTGGTAGGGTATCTGAACAGGAATTGTGTACCTAAAATAACTTTCTTTTTGTATGAGAATGTATTTATTTTCTTTCAGGTTGACATAGAAATTAATGGAGAAGCTGTAGATTTGCACATGAAACTAGGAGACAATGGAGAGGCCTTCTTTGTGCAGGAGATGGATAATGATCACGTAAGAGTCAAAACTAATTTAAATTTGTTAAAAATTTAATGCCTGCTCTTCAGAGTCAGTTTTGAGTTTAGGAATTTTGTTGAAAAATATACCTTTACCCGTTTTATAGTTTTGAAAGTTTCTTGACAATTTTCTGTTATGTAAATTCAATACTACGCAGTTACTTTGTTTTTTGAGTTGCTGAGATTTGGAAAAATCTGAAGAAGGTAATCACATAACAGAAAAATAAATCGTAGTTCATGTGCGTGTCAGTGTGTGAACAGAAGTAACGTGTAGAGTTCACATGCCCCAAAGATGTGTACAACAGCAGTTAGTATGTCCTGGACATGTGGACCTGTTTGTGTGGTTGTTTTTTTTTCAGAAATCTTTCCTTTGAACATATTCACTCAGCAGGCTGTCAGCAAAAGTGCACATGCTCTGTAAACATCTGTGCACGCAGTAATTCTGGTACTCAAAGATGCGATCCTGCAACTATTATTCATATGGAATTATATTAAAATGAGAACGCCAGCTGTTGAGCTGTGTGATTAAGCACTAGCCTGTATAAGTTAAGGTCACACTAATTTTGAATAGTCCACACGTAATGTAACATAAGAAAAGCTTTTTAGAGGCATTTCTTTTCTGATATCCCCAATAATTTTTGTCACTGTCCAGAGTGGGATGAGTTTTCAAATTCTTACGTAGAGTACGATATTACTAGTTTCAGGTGAGAGCTGTGTACATGTGCAATATTCATCTCTATATCTTTATGTTTAAATCTTCTGGTCTTCTGTGTTGTAACAGTAACTTGGTAACTGAAAATTCCTAGAAATACTCCCGTGAGTATCTAGAGATGTGTATATATGATCGAATAAGAGGATGTTTGTGTGACCTAGTTATAAACTGCTGACCTATCTGACTACTATCTGTCATCTGAGTTGTGAAGGAGAATTTGGACCAGATGATCCTTGAGGTCCCTTCTGACCTGGTATTCTATGATTTGGATTTTACAAAACGTTCAGGCTATAAACTAGGATTTTGTTTCTGCTCTGTATCAGGTGGATAGAGACTCATGGTATAACCTCGCCAATATTAGATGCTCAGAGGATCTTCTTAAAGAGTATTGTTCCTGGCTTGGCTAAGGAGATGCAGCTATGGAACAATTTCCATATGCAATAGGATCTTGCTGAGTGTCCAGATGTCTAACCTTTGTAACTTTCCTGAGGAATAAATGACTTAGATTTTGGCAATTGTGCATACATTTTAAAACCAGATTTGTGACTGGTGGAGGAACTAATATGTTGCATGGCTTTAATTTTTTCTTTCTCAGGAGGTAATTCCTTATCATCTCTCCACATCTCCTATTCTGTCTGAGGGAACTGCTTTAATGGAAGCTCAGCTGAAGAGGAACTCCATAGACAGGATAAGAAACCTGGACACCAGTGCATCCTCGCAAGTACCACCCCAAGCCCATGGATCCCAGCCTTCTATTGAAACATCTTCAGTCTGTAGCTCTGTGAAAAAAAGGAGGAAAAAGAGAAGGAAGTCTACCCATAAAATAGACAGCTTAAAAAGAGAAGATATTGGAGACACATCAGAAGATGAAGATATGTTTCCGATAGAGATTAGCTCAGAGGAAGAAAAAGAACCATTGGACAATTCAAGGTATCACAGTGGAATCGAGATATGCAATGGGAACCTTCTGCTGGGTTAATGTTCCATTCCATAGCTTCTAAAAGTAATTTCTATCTGAGTCAGTACACATGGCTGATGAACATGTTTCTTTAAGAAAAAGCTTTAGGCTAGGAGGCTAAGGGGAGTGTTAGTAACAAAAATAATGAAAATGAAATTGAAAGCATGAGAACAATCCTCCATCATGCTGTGAACGAGAAGGTGTGAATCAGATAACGTTTCTCTATCTCCTTTTAGTTCAGGTTATACTAATTCTTCTCTGCTATAGGGTTTTTTTGATATTTAAAGTATATGGCAGTTCAGTAATCAAATATGGTTTTTAAATGTCACATTTTTCCATGTACCTAGGATCCCTGTTCCAGATGTGTTTGTTGATGATGTATCTGACATAAAGGCTTCTGCAGTTTCTTCATTTCCTCAGTCTGCGTCTTACCCTCACTCAGATGGAGAATGGTCACCTCTTCAAAGGTACTTTCTGATAGTACAGTTCTAAATAATCTTCCTCTTTCTATTAATGTCTTATATGCTAGTGTTATATGAAGTCTCACTAAACATTTTTGTATCAAGCAAGGTCACTGTCAACTATTAGATGAATGCTTTCTATATTTTAAATCAGATGGTGTACAAAAACTTCAGGTTAGCTTTGTCCTTGATTCAACAAATGCATGTGTACAAATGCAGCTCTACAAATTCTGAAGAATATTTATGTCTGTAAGTATCACTGTATATAAATACTATAGAGAGGATGAACACTTTGTGAAATCTGAATCTTGGCCTGACGCTCGTGCCTTGTAAGGATTTCAGTGGATGGAGGTATATAAATCTGTGGTACTTTTGGTGTAATCCTTTTAAGAACTTGCAAGATAAGAGTTGATGTATAAAAATAAATTTTTTTTTGTGAATAAGAATATGAGCTTTTTGTGATGCTCTCAAAGCTAATCTATCGAATTAGTTAGATAAACATGAAATGTTTATTTTGTGAAAAGAACTACTGTAATTTGCTTACTTTTCTCTGTATATGTAGTTGTGTACATGTGTATACCTTTGATGTCAAAACAGATCACTTTGGACCTCCTTTCTTGTGTCTGTAGCAACACTATCAAAAGGAGAAAACTTTTCGCTTACTGTGCGTTGCACTATAATTCCAATGAGGTCTGTGTGTGTGTGTCCCCATGCACATGTGCCTCGCATCCTCCATGCAGACTACTGGAGTGGAGCAGTGTTCACAAGACTTGATCCTAAGAAGTCTAGTCTCAATATACTGTCTCTGTAGTTGAGGGGCAGAGGAACTGAGAGCAAGGAGACTGTTTCAGAGGAAGGGCTTAATTTGAATGTTTTGAATTGCATTCAGCAAGAAACTTCCTCCACTGACTGTAAAGCTTAATGTAATGAGCTTCAGCAGTCTGGTGACAGCATGTGTCAATACCCTGCCCCTTTGATGGCTTTTTGAACTGTATGTTCTGTTTGTTTCTCAGTTACAGTATTCTGGATTTTGAAAACTCTAGATGTAAATTCAGCATTCATGTAGCTAATGCACAAAAAGTTCATGTTAATCAGCGCTTGTGGATAATGACACCCTGTTTTTCTTTCTGCCAACATGCTGTGCTGTCCAGTAAGCCTATAGATTGCACAGGGCAATCCTCTCTTCTCACTGTTCCAGCAGACGGAGGCCTATCTAACTCTTGTCCTCAACAATCTTCTCACTTTTCTCCTCCAGACAGGTAGAACAGTTGTCCTCCCTCTTTTCTGGGCTGCTCTTTAATCCCTTTAACACATTAATAAACTTTTAACACGTTAATAGTATGTGAAACGTTGTTAAACTTATAACTGCACTTACTGCTAACCCAGGCACTTTGAAAGAAAGTGACATTGAAAACCACTTCCTCTGCTTCCTTCTTTGTGGGCATTGACCCGAGGTAAGTTAGCTTGATCAATCATCCATTGAATCAAGAAGGCTAATATAAAATCAGGCCAATGAAAACCTTGATTAAAACTGAAGTTGATTAAGATGATAGAATAAAAAAGGAAGAACTTAGCTAGTGAAAACTTACATTCCTCTGAAGATTAACATTGCCATGGGGCTTTTTACAGTCGGTGTATATTTTAATGACATTTTTAGTCACATGATTTTCCTGAGTTGTTTGCTTGTGCGTAGGTTACAAAAATAAAAGCAAAACAAAGGTTTCAGAGATTAAGTGAGCAACAAGGAGTGCAAAACTTGTGATGGGAGGAGCCTAGTACCGAAAGATAAACTTCCTTTCCTTTGTTCCCTGGTTTGGGGGACGGGGAAGACTTTCTGTATGTTGGATTACAGTATGGGAACATCTTATAGAGTAAAGATGACACAATAAATAAGGCATCTTGTCTAAGGTTTAGGAGACCTAGATTTAAGCCTTTGCTGTAGTGTAGGATTGCTTTGACTGTGGACTCTTTTCTACAGAGCTAAAGGTGGATACAGACACTTTTTATGACACTTACTTTTAAATTCAAGATGTCTCAAGATTCTGCCGCCTGGCCCTTTATCTCCATTAAGTCAGTGGAGAGAAGTCACAGCAACTCAGCTGAGTTTAAAGGAGGTGTCTCTATGAATGCTGGGGAATCTTTCAGTAATAAATCAGGGCTCATTGCTTATGTTGCGTAGATGCCATACTAAGGCTATCTCAGAACTGATAACCTTGAGGTTTTCCCAGCTTCTAGGTCTTTAAGCTGACCATGTCACAGAACCAGGTCAAGGTGAGATCCTGGGACACTCAAGTCTGTTCTCCTCTATGTGAAATAAGAAACTATTATGGCCACCTCAAAGGAGGGTCAGAGGCTCTCAGCCGTCATTGTAGCATGTACATGAGGTAGCCCTCTTTCCTTCTGACTATCTTGTCCCAGTTTATTTGGCCTCAGTCAAGACAGGAATTTTTCTCAGGTCACGCTGCTGCTTTCTTAGGGCCCTCTTCGCTTTCAGAGGGAAACACTGCAAAGATCAGTATGATTTGCTATTGCAGAACTGCCAACTACAGGCAAAGTTCATTATTCTTTGACATGGGGTTACATGAAGTGATATCATAGCTGTTAAGGAATACAATACTGTGACACCGGTATTGTGGGATGTGAATCAGATATGCTGATCTAAATGACTGAACTGAAGTTTCTGTTCCTTCTTGTGCAGTGTTGACAGGATGGATGGGTCTAGTTTGATCTGCAATATTTCAGCAATCTATGTAAGGCAAGAGAACTGCAGCTGTGCCGAGTCAGTGCCTAACTTAAGGACAGGGGAATTGCAAGGCATAGTTCAGCCTAAGACAAATGTCTTGGTGGTGTAAGGAATAAAGAACCCATTTTGAGTCTGATCCATGGATGCATTTGCAGGATAGTCACTGGGTGATCCTGCATGGTCATGGTGCTCGGCCTTATTGACCCCTAGTGCAAGCGTAACATTAATTCAGGATTTAATTTGACCTGTCTGAGCTGAAAAAAAAAATGAAGGAATGGGATTGTGAGCTTTATTAGTCTTCAGTCTCATTTTATTTTGGTGGCAATAATATGAAGTGAATAGCAGCTCAGATAGTCCCAGTGTGGGTAAAGGAGATGACATCTGGCATTACGTATGGAAGCAGAACTGTACAAACGGGAAGTATAAACAGGACTGTAGTAGGCATAATTGCCATTTGCAACAATAAACTGTAGAGATCGTTGCTGTTCCAGAAGGCTATTGGTTGGAGAGAGTAGCTATTGAGTGTTAAACAACAATATAGTGTATGGAGAAAAAAGTAAAGGTATTTCTCTGTAATGGAAAAAACCCAGCCTCATCAGAAGGCCACCAACCCTGTATTATTGTTAGTGGGTGGCATAGAAAATTCTAGCTTGTGTTCCAGATGATATAAGGAATGAGAATGCTTTAGTATCCTTTTGTACAAACAAAATAATTTATCCCCTGTTTGCCTTGTGGATGCATGTTTGCAGACTGATTTGGTCTTGGGCTTTTTAAATTAAGATGACATTGCAATGATAATTCTTGTCTACCCTGAGGTTATATTAGCATTTGTACACTAATCTCTAAGGAGAAATGAACTGAAAAGAATTCTGAAGATCTAACATTTTTGTTACTACTAAATCGAGTAGAAAAGTAGTATTTCTAGAATGGGACTTAAGATGTCTGCATTGTGCTTGTGTGGAAAGTTCAGTAGATGGTGTCCATTTTGTGTAATTTGTTTTGGGAGAGTGCGTAATATTTTTGGAGTTAGATGCTTACCCATTTCTGAACTTGCCATGGTTAACACTTGTACCTGTATCTACTCTGAACCAATAACCCAGACCCTTTCTCAGCAAGAGCCTTCTCAGAGCAGAACTCTGACTGTTTTAACATGCGCACATATGCAAGTGCAGTATTTCTGGCGCTTGCATGTGTGTGTCTGGGAATATACATCGTAGGTCCCTACTCAGTTGTGTGTACAAGGGAACTGTGTTTTCAGGGAAAATTATGGAAAAGGCAAGGTTCCCTCCCGCCCTTCCCGGTTAGTGTTCTCACTGCAAAATGCAGAGGTTCTAGCCCAAACAGAAGCAATGCCTGTAGTCTCTTGGGTCATCTGGCTGGGTAAGTGAACCTGGGCTGAACATACCCAAAACCCGGACTGGAGATTTTTCTAAGTAAACAGTAGGTATTTTGAAGGTTAAAATGTGTGCAGTGCATGGATTAACTGGCGCGGTGACAACACTTCCTTAAATCTCAGTATTTTTGGCCTAAGGCAGCAGTAGAGGCATTATTGCCTGCTGAGATTTTTCTGAAGTGTCCAGGCTTCTGATTTCCAAGGTTTCAACGGGCCCTAGATGCATGGAAAGTATGGCAAATCAAACAAACTTGTCAGTGGGAGATGTAGAAGTTGCTGAAAAACCCACCAGGCATTTCTCGAATCTTTAGAGTTTGAAAATACTTTTAAAATCACATTGTATTGTTTCTTCCGTCAAATGTTAGGTTATACCTTAAGGACTAAGGAAAATTTGAAATTTGTAAGACTAAAAGAGATCTTCTGCGGTCTTATTGCTTCTGAAATTTATAGTTTAGTTAGATAACATAATGATCTGTAGCTAAAAAGTCATAGCATTTGTCCATATTCAAAGTATATCTTACTGCTTATAGATGAAAACAAGGAATAATGTAGATAATTAGGTTGCTGTTTTTTCAGATGTGAAATTCAGAGTTTTATAAAAGCTGCTTTGTGTTAGTGTGAAGTAATTCTTTTCCTGTGACCATTGAATTCCCTACCAGCTAGCTCTATAAAACTGCCTTATATTGAAAGAGCAAAACTGGTTTGGATATTCAGTTTACTCAGAAGAAGGTAAAGAATAAATCAAACATGAAGAATTTATACTAAACGTAGGAAGCCTTTTGTTTTTGAGAATGAAGTTAACTCAGTTTGAACCTTTGATTTAGGAATATTGTGGATTCTTTTGTTGCTTGTAGCTTTTAAATCAGGATTGCATGAGTATACCAAAGACATGCTATAGCTCAGAAAAAGAAAAAAAAAAATAAAGGGCTTTGTTCAGGGAGTTCTGTGTGAAATTCTGTGACTTGCATTATGCAGAAAGTCAGAGTAAATAATCAGAATTTTTCCTGTTGTCCTTGAAATCAGCAAATCATTATTTATTAATGGCTGACTTGACATTATTGACTTCACCATATTAAAAATACACTACAAACTGATAATTTGCTAATTAAGTGTTTTATATTGAGTAGTCAGCAAAACAAACAGTTAAATATTTTTGAACTGGAAGAGCTCAAATTCTTTGTATAGCTCTCCTGTTGTTTTCCTTACAAACATGCATCCAAGAGCAGATCTCAACAAGTTAGTAGAAGGAAGTAATCAACTGGATTCTTTAGACTAATTTATTACTTAGTCAAGATAAAGTGCCTTGTTGATGCGAGTGAGTAATTTCTGCACTTCATATCCATTATAACAGTACTAACATATGTTCATCTGCTGCTGCTGGTACCATCCCCATTCTTTTGTCCATACAGAAAAACAAAAATCCTCCTGAAATGTTCAGGTGCAGTGCTCTTGTTCCATCTCTTTCAGCTTCTGAAATCCCACTTCTGTGACCGCACTTTACTAAAAAATGGGTGAGACCTCTGAATGCCAGTGTAAGAGGACCCTGAACTGTTTAAACTGTTTTTTCATACTTTCAATTGGGCAATGATTATTTAGATCTTCAATGCTTTGGGTTGGTGAATATCAGTTTGGAAAGTCCTTAGTGTGTTGTGTTTACTTTTGGTTTTGTAATATTTTTTTGTTTGTTTTTCTTTAGCCCATCTGGTTCACGCCCTCCTACTCCTAAAAGTGACTCAGAATTAGTCAGTAAACCTATGGACAGAAGTGGACTGAAGAATAATCCCCACATGCACTGGGCATGGGGAGAGCTACCCCAGGCAGCAAAGGTGACCAGTGTAATTTGTTTAGTTTGTGTGTTAGTGTCTGTTGTGGCTTAATGGGGCACATGTGCTTATACTATTGCAGACTGCTGAAGGGGGCGTGGATCTTCTTTTTTTTTTTTTGCATGAAATTGTGGTATTTTATGTTTGGAATTGCGTAGAATCGTTTAGGTTGGAAGAGACCTTTAAGATCATTGAGTCCAACTGTTAACCTAGCACTACCACATCCACCACTAAACCATCCCTGGAGATGTAGATGTCCCTAAGCACCATATCTACATGTCTTTTAAATACCTCCAGGGATGGTGACTCAACCACTTCCCTAAGCAGCCTGTGCCAGTGATTGAGAACCCTTTCAGTGAAGAAATTCTTCCTAATGTCCAATCTGAACCTCTCCTGGCACAACTTGAGGCCCTTTCCTCTTGTCCTATCAGTTGTTACCTGAGAGAAGAGACTACTGACCTCCACCTCACTACA